AGGAGAGGAGGAGGAGGAGGGGGTCGGCGGGCGGGCCCTGCCGGGCGGCCGGGCGGGCTCCCGCGGGCGCGCCGGGCAGGAGAGGCGCCAGGCGGCCGGGCGGGCCCTCACCCGCAGGCGGCCATCCTCTCCCGCGGGCCTCGGCGGCGGAACGGCTGCGGCGGCGGCGGCGGGCCGCGGCGGCGACCGCGCCGGGCGAGGGCGCAGGCGCCTCAGCGGCGAGGGCGCTGCCGACCGCCGACCGCCGAGGCCGCCGCGCCGAGGCCGCGCGGGGGGGCGCCGGGCCGCGGCGGGGGCGCCGCGCGCTCGGAGGGGGCGGGGGCGCGCGCGAGCGGGCGCGGCGGCGGCCGAGGGTGTGGAGGGGGAGGGGGGCCTCCGCCCTCGTCCCGACGCCCTCGTCTGTGCCATGGCCTTCGTCCCCTCCGCCCTCGTCCCCGACGCCCTCGGCTTTGCCGGCCCCGTCGCCCTCGCCTTTGCCACTGCCGTCGCCCTCGTCGCGGTTTTCTGTCGCCGCCGCCGCCGTCGTCGCCGTCGTTGCCGTTGCCGTCGACGTCGAATGCGCCGTCGCCGCCGCCGTCGCCGCTGCCGCCGCCGTCGCCGTCACCGGTGCCAGAGGCACCGTGGAGGGGAGGGCGGGCGGAGGGGGCGGTGTGGGAGGGGGGGGGCGGCTTTGACCCGACGGAAGGAGGTCCGGACTAGCCTCCTCGCTTTCGGGTGCGCGCCAGCGCGGACTACGGATCCGTGGATCTGGCGCGCGGGCGCAAAATACACACAGACCGTGTGTGTTGTTTCCCACAAGCCGTGTGCGTTGTTTGTGTTTTGTTTTGTTGTTGTTGTTGTTGTTGTTGTTGTTGTTGTTGTTGTTGTTGTTGTTGATGTTCTTGTTGTTGTTGTTGCTGCTGCTGCTGCTGCTGCTGCTGTTGTTGTTGTTGTTGTTGTTGTTGTTGTTGTTCTTGTTTTCCCACAGACCGTGTGTGTTGTTGTGTGTTTTGTTGTGCTGTGTTTTTTCCCACGGACTACGGATCCGTGGATCTGGCGCGTGGGCGCCAGATGCCAGGTGCACGGATCGAGGGAGGCATCCCTCGAAACACGAAGCCAATGCCGCCTGATGTGGCGACGGAGCTCGCCGGGTCTGCACTGAGAGACGGGTCCCGTCGCTCACCCGCGCCCCTTGCTTCGTTTCTGCGCTCCCTGACCCTCGGAGCGGTCAGTGCGAGCCTCCCCTGACCCTACCAGCCCTCTGGGCCGAGGTGGTCCAGCGCGCTTTCTCTTCCGGCCCCTTCTTCCCCTGAGGAGGAGGAGGAGGAGGAGGAGGAGGCGGAGGAGGAGGAGGAGGTGGCAGAGCACGATGGGGAATAGCACGATGGGGAATCGCAGGTGGAGGAAGAGGAGGAGGAAGAGGAGGAGGAGGAGGAGGAGGAGGAGGAGGAGGAGGAGGAGGAAGAGGAGGAGGAGGAGGAGGAGGAGGAGGAGGAGGAGGAGGAGGAGGGTTGGCCCGTGCTCCCTCCCCCCCTGGGTTTCGGCGGTGGGGGCGGGGAAGGGTTCGGGCGTCCACGGTGGCCCAGGGGGGGCCTCGGGCAGCCCAAGGTGGCCTCCACAAGGGCTCCCAACTTCGCGCTTCGCGCTGCGCGAAGCGCGAAGTGCGAATAGCTTCGCGCTCTCGCGCCACCCCCCCAAAGGGAGAAAAGGAGGACAAGGAGGAGGAGGAGGAGAAGGAACGAGGACCGCGAAGCGCGAAGCGCGAATAACTTCGCACCCTCGTGGGAGCCCTTGCCTCCACGGTGTCTCCAAGATGCCCCAAGACCCCTCCAGGGCGGCTCTCCAGGATGCCCCAAGACCCCCAAGACCCCCGTCCAAGAGTCTCCAGGATGCCCCTCCAGGACGGCTCCAAGTGGCCACGGAACCTCCAGGGACGTCCCCGAGGGGCCAACAGTCTTTCAGCACCAGGCGAACATCAGGTTGTCTTGTCTGAGGCCTCAGAACGACCCAAGATGGCCCAAGAGAGTCCCCAGACAGACCCGGGAAGGTCCCAAGACCGCCCCGCGAGGCAATTTTTCAGGCTCAAGGGGGGCGACTCTAATTAGCCCCCCTCACCCCCTGCGCTCAAAGCATACAAATACATAACATTAGTTGTTTCACAGATTTTGGCATCTCGGGGGCATCCTTGGGAGACTTTTGGGCCAACATCGCTCCACGACAGCTTCGAATAGCTCAGGATGACCGCCAAGAGGTCGCAACATTGTCCAGGACGGCTCAAGATGTTCTCCAAGATGCTTCAACGGTGCCCAAATACTAACCCAATATGGTTCCAAGCTCCCCACAGAACCTCCTAAGACCGCCCCCAGGATGCCCAAATCTTTCCAACACCTGGCGACAACCAGTGTTGCTAGCATTCTCGCTTTTTCGCATCCGATTAGCTGTTGGGGCCTCAGAATTGCACCGGTATGGCCCAAGAGTCCCAAGAGATTCCCAAGAGGGGCCCAAGAGAACACATGGACGACCCCAAGAGCACCCAAGATAATTCAAAGGGCTCAAAAGAGCCCCCAAGGCTCCAAAAAGGACGCCAAGAGAGCCCCAAAGGCTTCTAGAATGCCCCAGCGAACCCCATCATGGCCCAAGTAAGCCGCCAAGACGCTCCCATGTCAAACGATCCGCGAAGAGGGCAACTACTATGGTTGACTGATCGGTCTGCTCAAGCTGATCCCGAGCTTCGGTTTGACGGCTGCCCGCCTTTTCGTTCCGCTGCTTGCTCGTACGCGTCCCTGGTACGGGCAAGCCTGGGCGTCGGTTCTGGACGGGCTGGCGGGGATGCGCGAAGCCTGTAGAATACGGCATGGGGGGTGGGTGGAGGTCGCGTGTCCGCACCAGCCATTCAAGGAAGTTCGCCTCCAAGGCTCCTCAGAAACGACCCAAGAAGGCCTCAAGGTTACCGAGGGAGCGCGATCCACCAGTCGGGAGGCCCAAGGAGGCCTGTCCCTGCCGTCGCTCGGACGTCAATCTCCCGTGCATGTTTCGGCTTCGTGCGTGTTTCTTCTTGTTCTGCTCGATGGCCCAGGATGGTCCCCGATGGTTCTCGCCGAGAACATATGCACACGTCCGAGCGATGCCAGGTGTCGGGAGGCCTCCCGGGTGGCGAGGAGAAGAAGGAGAAGGAGAAGGAGGAGGAGGAGGAGGAGGAGGAGGAGGAGGAGGAGAAGGAGGTGGAGGAGGAGGACGAGGAGGAGGAGGAGGAGGAGGAGGAGGAGGAGGAGGAGGAGGAGGAGGAGAGGAGGAGGGGAAGGTCCGTCGGGAGGCCCGTCGGGAGGCCCGCCGGGAGGCCCGCCCCGGGAGGCCCGCCGGGGGGCGCGCGGGGAGGCCGCTCGCAAGGCCCACGGAGGGCCCACGGAGGGGGGCCCCCCGTCGGAGGGTCAGGGGCGCAGCGGCTGCTTTTCCGGGCCACGGCGGGCCTTGGCCACGGCCCCTTCGGGGACACCACGGGTCAAGAGGAGCTGGTTGAGGGAGAGCAGAGGGGCTTTGAATTTGTTTTGCTTGCGCGTGCGCATGTCTGTGTGGAGAAGTGAGGAGGGAAGCGACGCGGTGGAGAGGGTTCGGGAGGGAGGAGGAGGAGGTGGAGGTGGAGGAGGAGGGAGAGCAGAGGGGCTTGGAATTTGTTTTGCTTGCGTGTTCTCGTGGCCAGGCACCAGGTCAAGCACGGACGGTACATCTGGCTTGAACAGCCCGAGAGGGCGAGCTCCCTGGAGTTCGAGGAGGTTCGGGACCTGCTGGATCTGCCACGGAACCTGTCCCCCTACTGGGGGATTCTGGACGACAAATGAAAAAATGTCCAAAAATGCTCAACAGATGTCCAACCATGCTCAAAACATCTTCCCCAGACGATCTTTTTTAATACTATTTTTGAACATTCCCCCTGTAGAGGGACAGGCCCGACTTAACACAAGAGAGGTCTTCCGACCGAGCCGAGGGGGGCGTCAGAGGATCGCGCCGCACCGCGGGTGCATCGGCGGCGGCAGGCTGGAAAACAACGGGGTGCAAAGCTTCGCCGCGCCACCAATGCATCGGCGACGGGGGGGAAGCATACGGAAGCACAGTCAACCGTGCCACCTTGAAAGGCGCCGACGAGGGAGCGAAGACCACAGTGAGCCTCGGCCACGAACAGGTTCCCCGACCCAGATCTGATGAACGGTCGGGAACCCGAAGTGCTCCTTACTTGGGCGTCTTGACTGTATTCAGGAAGATTTCGGTGGGGACGCAGTGTCCCTCTCCCTGCACCTACGCCACTGGATGAGCCACCTTGGGATCCCGAGGCGAGCCCGCCACGACAAGCACGAGGAGGAGGACCCAAGGACATCTGAAAGATGCTTCTCTTAAACCTGAGCGTTCTTCTCGATTTCGGGCCCTGGCACCATCACTACCTCATCCGGGAAGAGAAGCGCCGACTGGGAAGGGATCCAGGATGGTCCAGGGCCGCGTGCTTGGAGGCTTCTGACTCGCCTACGGTCTACATACGCATGCGCATGTCTGTATGGAGAAGTGAGGAGGGAAGCGACGCGGTGGAGAGGGTTCGGGAGGGAGGAGGAGGAGGTGGAGGAGGAGGAGGGGGCGAGGCGGTGGAGAGGGACCGGGAAAAAGGAGGCAGGAAGGAGGAAGGAGGCAGGAAGAGGAGGCAGGAGGAGAAGTGGAAGGAGAGCGAGGAGGAGGGGGAGGAGGAGGAGGAGGAGGAGGAGGAGGAAAGAGGGTTGACGGTTGATCTGCTCACCCATCGCGACTGTATGGGGAGCTGCGCTCGCCCCCGCTCGTTAACCGTCGTCGCTCGCCGACGTCGTCGTCGTCGTGGTCGTCGTGGTCGTGGTCGTGGTCGTCGTCGTCGTCGTGGTCGTCGTCGTCGTCGTCGTCGTCGTGGCCGTCGTTGCCGTCGTCGTCGTCGTCGTCGTCGTCGTCGTCGTCGTCGTCGTCGTCGTCGTCGTCGTCGTCGTCGTCGCTCGCTGGAGAGGGGCGGCGGCCTCGGCGTTCTCCACGGCGTCGACCAGCGTGTCTTGCGTCTTCGCGGCGTGGTCCTGCAGCTCCTTGGCGGTGTCCTCCTGTCGCGGGCGGCGGCGCCGGGCGGGCTCCCCCGGAGTTGTCTTCGTTGTGTTTTCTGCTGCTTCGCGTGCCAGTAGATGAGGATCTTCCCTCCTCCTCCTCCTCCTCCTCCTCTTCCCCCTCTCCTCCCCTCCTCCTCCTCCTCCTCCTCTTTTTCCTCCCCTCCTCCTCCTCCTCCTCCTCCTCCTCTCTTCTCTTGTTTCTCCTCTTTCTCCTCCTCCTCCTCCTGCTCCTCCTCCTCCTCCTCCTCCTCCTCCACCCTCGCCTCCTCCTCCTCCTCCTCATCCTCCGACCGGGTGGGGGTGATTTTCAAAATATGGCTCTCGCTTTAGCGCCGCGTGCATGGGTCTTCAGCGTTTGCATGAATCTCACGGATCGGGGGCGGAACCTTTTCATATTGTGGCTCTCGCCTTAGCGTCGCGCGCATTCGTCTTAACAGTTTGCGAATGTCTGGCGGATGGAGGGCGATGCCTTTTCAACATTTGGCTCTCGCCTTAGCGCGGCGGAAATCCGTCTAAATATTAGTTTGCAATCGTTTGAAGTATTCCTATTGAGTGACAGGGCGCAACAGTTACGTTGATTGGCGGTGTCGAAGTCCCAGGAACTTTTTCTGGCATAGCTCAGGATTGTCAGGACGCACATGTCACCTTGATTCGCGGCGTTGAAATCCCAGGAGTGGTATTCTGGCGCTGGTCAGGATTTTCTGACGGTTGTATTCCAACGAGACACTTCTCTGTGAGAATGAACCCTTGTAGGGTCCTGTGAATGGGGGAACTTGCAGGGAGGGTTGATTGCAACATCGTTGATGAGCCTTGGGTTTACACTGGTCCTCCTCCTCCTCCTCCTCCTCCTCCTCCTCCTCCTCCTCCTCCTCCTCCCCACCCTCCTCCTCATTTCCGTCATCCATCCGCATCATCTTCGATCCTCCTTCATCCTCTTCATCGTCCACCCCTCCTGCCCCACCTCCATCCTTTCGCCTGAGCCGAGTTGTTGGGTCCGTTTCGGGACCACGGGGGCCGTCAGAAATCGATCCGTGGTGAAATACTACCCAGGGCGGACCCCTAAGAGCTTTTCGCAACTTGTGTGTCTTATCCTAGTCCGCCAGACCCTCATCCTCCTTGTCCCCCTCGTCCTCCTCCTCCTCCCCCTCCTGCTCCTCCTCCTCTTCCTTCTCAACCTATTTCCTCCTCTCCTCATCCTTGGCTCCGTCTCCTGCTCCTCCTCATCTTCCTCTTGTCTTCTCCTCCTCCTCCTCATCGTCCTCCTCGTTGTCCCGCCTCCCCCTTCCTCCTCCTCATGTTCCTCCTCCTCCTCCTCCTCCTCCTCCTCGAACTCCTCCTACTCGACGTCGTCGTCCTCCTCCTCCTGCCGTTCTTCCTGGAGAGAAGGCATGGATGTGTGTGTGTGTGTGTGTGTGTTGAAGTTCCTGGGCGCGCCCGGGCCCGAGCGCGGCCAGCGACGCCAGCCCCGCAGGCTGCGGCAGAGGCCCGTCCCTCCTGCTGGTCGTCGCTATCTGCCCTCCTCCTCCTCCTCCTCGAACTCCTCCTCCTCCTCGAACTCCACCTCCTCCTCCTCCATCCACTAGAGATGGAGGAGGAGGAGGAGGAGGAGGAGGAGGTGGAGGAAAAGGAGAACGAGGAGGAGCAGGAGCTCCTAGTCCAACTCCACCTCCTTGTCTTCCTTCTCCTGTTTTCTCATCCTGGTCGTCCGCCTCTCATCCTCCTTCTCCCCTCGTGCTCATCCACCTACTGCTTCTCCGTCCGTCCGTCGCACCCTCCTCATCCTCCTGCTCCTCCTTATCCTCCTCGTCCACCTTCACGTCCGCCTCCTCCTCCTCCTCCTCCTCCTCCTCCTGCTTCGCTCCCCATCCTCCTCATCCTGATCCGCTCCTCCTCCAGCTTCGCGGTGGCTCCACGGCAGCGCCTCCCTGGAGCAGCCCACCCAGGCCATCGAGGGCCGGCAGCCGCCGCAGGGCTGGCGCAGAGATCCCCGCGAGGGGGCTGGAGCGCGGCGCGGCGCCGACCCGCACCTCCCCGAGACCACAGACCACAGGGGGGGCCGACGAGCATGTGTTTCAAGATGCTGCTGATGATGATGGTGATGACGAGCATGTGTTTCAAGATGCTGCTGATGACAATGGTGATGACGAGCATGTGTTTCAAGATGCTGCTGATGACGATGATGATGACGAGCATGTGTTTCAAGATGCTGCTGATGACGATTGTGATGATGACGAGTATGTGTTTCAAGATGCTGCTGATGACGATGATGATGATGACGAGCATGTGTTTCAAGATGCTGCTGACGATGATGATGATGACGAGCATGTGTTTCAAGATGTTGCTGATGATGGTGATGACGAGCATGTGTTTCAATGCGCTGCTGATGACGATGGTGATGACGAGCATGTGTTTCAAGATGCTGCTGATGATGACGATGGTGTGACCAGCATGTGTTTCAAGATGCTGCTGATGACGATGGTGATGACGAGCATGTGTTTCAAGATGCTGCTGATGACGATGATGATGATGACGAGCATGTGTTTCAAGATGCTGCTGATGACGATGATGATGATGACGAGTATGTGTCTCAAGATGCTGCCCATGACGATGGTAACGACGAGCATGTGTTTCAAGATGCTGCTGATGACGATGATGATGATGAGTATGTGTTTCAAGATTCTGCTGGTGACGATGGTGATGACGAGCATGCGTTGGGAGCAATGCGTTGTCATAATGAGTTTCACAGAGCACGATCGAGTGGGAAGCACAGCCCACCAGACTAAGGGAATAACTCCCTGGGGCTAGGCACCCATAGCAGATTCCATAAGTTATCCTCTCTTCACCCTTCTTCCTCCCCCTCCTCCTCCTCCGCCTCCACCACCGTTTCTTCCTCCTCACCCCTCTTACTTCCAGTGGGTGAGCGCCGAAGCGCGTTCCAGAGAGATTAGTAAGCCTTAATATCTCGATTCTCCGGCCCCCGGAGGCCCGAAATAAACATTAGCGGATTACACATTGATTTCTTTTGTTGTTGAGCTACAAAAGGGAATCCTTTTGTGGTGAACTAATATTGTTTTATTTTGCGGCAGATTACAAAAGGATTCCTTTTGTGGAGAATTACAAAAGGACTTTTTTATGGAGGATCACATGATGATTCCTTTTTGTGGCGAATTACAAAAGGATCCCTTTTGTGGAGGATTACAAAGGGATTCCCCTTGGTGGAGGAATACAAAGGGATTCCTTTTGTGGAGAATTACACATTGATTTCCTTTGAGGGCTCTCCTGGAAGTGAGCCAGGGGACAAAAGGAAAACAAAAAAAACAAAAATCCGAAAATCATTGAAAATTGCGAAAATTGCAAGTTCCCAATGAATTTTCAATGCTTTGAAGCAAAAACATATAAAAAACACAGCATTTCCAAGGTTTTGAGGCCGAAACCATATGAAAACACAGCATTTTTGCATTCGGATTGTGAAAATGCTGTGTTGTTTTATATGTTGTTGTTTCAAAGCATGGGAAATTCTTCGAAAACCTGCAATTTTCATAATTTTCATTTTTTTTTTTTTTTTTTTTTTTTCTTTTGTCCCCTGGTTCACTTCCAGGAAAGCACTCAAAGGAAATCAATTTGTAATCCTCCACAAAAGGAATCCCTTTGTATTCCTCCACCAAAGGGAATTTCTTTGTAATCCTCCACAAAAGGGATCCTTTTGTAATCCTCCACAAAAGGAATCCTTTTGTAATCCGCCACAAAAGGAAACAATGTGTAATACATCATGAACAGAAGTCCCTTGTAATTCCTTACAAAAGAACTCAATTTAAAATGTGCTACAACAGGAATCGTTCTGCATTCCACTACTTTGAACAATCACTTTAGAGATGACGAGAAGCATAATCAACAGGAAAGCAAGCGCATCAGAAGTAATAGACCAAAAACCGAGCTGGTACACACACACACACACGGTTTGGTCAACCTTACCCCCCCCCCCCCCCGAATGGGCCCCCAGGACCCTCCCCAATGGACCCTCAGGGCCCCACTTCTTCCCTCGGGCGTTTCCTGGCGCACATGGTTCAAGCGTCCACCGACTGCCTTGAGCTTCCGCTTTCTCCCCAAAGTTGACCCGCAAGACGTCCCTGGGATAAGTCTGGCTGCTGGGATCAGGGCTTGCACGTTCCTGACCGCGGCATCGCGCGACGCCGGTTGGTCCTTGGAACGGCGGCGACTGCGCGTGCTGCGCCGTCGCGGCTCTTCGCCCCTCCACTCGCCGACCGACGCGCGCGCTGCGGATCGATTCATTCAATCAAAGAGCCCGAAATAGGCCCACGGAACGCTAGCTTTTGCCCCCCCCATCCCCCCCACAAACCCTCCCACCCACGACCACACCACCCACACCACCCCCCCCCCCCCCCCCCCACCCCCCCCCCCCCCCCCCCCCACCCCCCCACACCACCCCCACGCCCCACCCCCCACACCCCACCCCCACCCCCACCCCCACACCCCACCCCCACACCCCCACCCCCACCCCCACCCCCACCACCCACCCCCAAACCCCAACCCACACCCCCCCACTCCCCCACTACCCCCACCCCCTACCCCCACCCCCAACCCCCACCCCCACCCCCACTCCCAACCCCCCCACACATCCACCCCCACGCCCCCACCCCCAAACTCCCAACCCCACCCCACCTCCCACACCCCACCCCCCACCCCCAACCCCCACCCCCACCCCCACCTCCCCCACCCCCACCCCCCACCCCCACCCCCACTCCCCACCCCCAACCCCACCCCCACCCCCACCCCCTACCCCCACCCACCACCTCCCCACCCCCAACCCCACCCCCACCCCCACCCCCACCCCCACCCAGGGCCCCCCCCTTCATAAAACCCCCACCCCCCACCCCCACCCCCACCCCCACCCCCAACCCCACCCCCCCCCACCCACGACCCCCACCCCCACCACCACCCCCACACCCACACCCCAAACCCAACACCCACAAACCCACACCCACAACCCACCACCCACACACACACCCACACCCACACCCACACCCCACCCACAACCCACACCCAACCCACACCCCACCCACACCCACACCCAACACCCACAAATACCCACCCCCACACCCACACCCACACACACAACACACACACACACACTCCACCCCATAACCAACCACACCCACACACAAACACACACCACGCACCAACACACACACCCACCCCACCCCACACCCCACCCCTTTAGGACCTTGAGCTGCTGGCTGAGCGTCTTCGCACGCTTCTTGAGCAAGGCCTCCCTCGCGCGGGCGATGTGGCGGTCGGAGTTCTTCACGAACTTCTTCTCGGGCGCGAGGGCGGCGGCGTCGAGCTCGTCGAACTGGTCCAGGCCGTCGACCAGCATCTCCTCGGGGGCAGCATCGGCGATGTCGGCGACGCCGCGTGCTGCTGGAGCCTCGCCAAGCTGGCCATCAATCTCGAGATCATCAAGGGCCTCATCCAAGTCCATGCCTGACCTGATGCCGATTTCGCCTCTGATATGTAGTGTGTCCCAGCAAGCGTCGTCGATGCTGCCGAACTGATAACTATGGAGAGGTGGAGCCGCCGTCGTCGCAGCAACAACCAAAATAATATGGACGAATCTGAACGACTCTGATATGCAGCATGTCCAAGCGAGCGTCTATGCTGCCGAACTGACGATATGGAGAGGTGAAGCCGCCGAAGCAGCAACAACCATAATGAATATATTGAGGGCAGCACGGCAAACTGCACGTGCCATAATCATATCATTGGCAAAGGGGTTACACACGTGGGACCTCATCCCAAGCCGCCGTTCGAGCCGGAACGGTTTCGAGGAACACAATACAAGACCGAGATTGCCCCGCGGGCTCATTGTTTGCCCAGAAACCTCACATCTGACATCAGAAATGGTTCGGGCGCCCCTGAATCGATCCCCCTGAGATACTCAAGCGCGAAAGACCCCCGCTACTGAACATTAGTTCTTACATTGGCGAATGGGATAACGTCGGCGGGGGCATGAGACCCGTGCCCGATCTTGCGGCCCCCTGGCGTGCCAGAGCCATCCACGGAGCTCCCGAAATCCAATGGTGCGTCCCCCAAAAACTCAGAGCAGTTGTTTGACTGTTCCCCTTCCTCCTTTCTCCTGGCCCTCCTCCCGATCTTATTTTTCCATTTCTGCTGGCCGATGCTATCGTCCTGTCTGAGTACCTCCTGTCTGTGTTGCTTCTCTATGTTTCTTCCGTCTCCTGCTAAATCATCGCCGTTTGCTTGGTGATGATGATGCTGCTGCTGATGATGCTGATGATGGTGATGGTGATGATGATGCTGCTGCTGATGATGAGGATGATGCAGATGATGAGGAGGATGGGGATGTTGCTGATGATGATGATGATGTTGCTGAAACATTACAGATGTCAGGCGCATCTTCGCGCCCTCCAGCACGGTTCGCGTCGACCCGAGAATCTGCGGACCAAGAGGAACCGAAAACACAACTGCGAACACAGGCGTCGCCTCGCATTCGGGGGGGTCTACAGCGAAGGGCCGTGCCAGCCCCCCGCATGGACTCAAAGGAGGAGGGGGGGAGGAGGAGGAGGAGGAGGAGGAGGAGGAGGAGGAGGAGGAGGAGGAGGACGAGGAGGAGGAGGGGGAATATCTGATCTGATCTGAAAAGTTGGGAACGACATCGAGCTTACAGCCATGAGCCTACCCGAGAAGACTTGTCAAAAAAATGATTTCGGTCCCTGCGACGTCGATAAAAACCGCGTGAACATCCAAAATTTAAAATCGAGAGGCCTCCGCAGGGAGGAGGGCCCCCGTCGGGCCCCGAGGCGAGCCCAAAAAGGAGGGAAGGCCCTCCAGGGGTGCCTGCGGGCGCCAACGTCCTAGGCAGACAACTGCCCCAAGCCCCGCCCCCCAGCGCCTAGACGGCGGAGCCACCAGGGCCCAGCACCGCCCCCCACGGCCAGGAGGGGGGGGGGCACAGCTGCCTGCCCTCAAGTCCCACGCCGGCGCGACGGAGCCCCCCGCTTCTGAGGAAGTCGGCGCATTGTCTCTGTCTCGGCCACCGTGCGGCCAAGGGCACGATCCGCTGCAGCGGCCGAGAGCCTATCAGCCTCATGCCCCCCCCCCCCCCCCCCCCACGTCCGACCCAGTCGCCGCGCTCCCCACAAACCTACCTCCTCCCGTGGCTCGGGTACCGCGCACGAGGCCACGGGAAGCCAACGAGGCAAGCCTGGAGCTGGTGACAATATTCGGAGGGAGTAAGAGCGGGAGAGGGGTAGAGGACGACGAGGCACTCAGAAGGGGAGAGGAGGGAGGGACATTCAAAGACAAAGCAGGAGCAGTAAAGGAGCCCCCGCCTCGAACGATTTAGCTCTCGGCGCGGCAGGGACTTCTTTCTCGCACTCCATTCTCCGAGCCTTCCTCGGAGGAGACGTCATCGGGCGAGAGGACGCCGCAACACACTTAGAACCAGCCGAAGACCCTACGATTGAATCGGAAGGGCCGTCATTCTTCATCACCTCTCCATGCCAATATATGATCATGAGCGGCTGCTCGATTGCCACTTCTGGATCGCGCGCTCTTCCTGGCTCCGCGGTGCGGAGCTGTACAATTTCTGGGCATTCAGCTCCACGAGAGCACGCTGCATCAACAATCCGAGCTTCCTCCCGCCATCCGTGTCCGACAGAATGTGAAAGCGTAGCTTGACCATCTTCTCCATGCGGTTCCTCTTCTCGCCGCGGGGCTGCTGGAATGATATCGTGCGGATCAGTCCCGCGAGCTTGTGTGGTGCCTTACCCTGGATGGACGTCGCCCAGAACTGTTCGATCTCATCTTTGTGAACTCCGCTCGCTGCCTGCTTGCGAAGCTCCACCATCACAATGAAGAAGACGCACAGGAACGGCGGCCCCAAGCTCGCAGTGTCGACGCTTGGGTCGGTGGCGGCCTTCTCCTTGAGCTCGGCGGCGGCCTTGGTGTAGTAGGCGTTGGCGCGGAGCCCTGCCTGGGCCAGGAGGGGGAGGAGGAGGAGGAGGAGGAGGAGGAGGAGGAGGAGGAGAAGGAGGAGGAGAAAGGAGGAGGAGGAGGAGGAGGAGGAGGAGGAGGAGGAGGGGGGAGGGGGAGGAGGAGGGGGAGGGGGAGGAGGAGGAGGAGGAGGAGGAGGAGGAGGAGGAGGAGGGGGAGGAGGAGGAGGAGGAGGAGGGAGGAGGAGGAGGGAGGAGGAGGAGGAAGGAGGAGGAGGAGGAGGAGGAGGAGGAGGAGGAGGAGGAGGAGGGGGAGGGGGAGGAGGAGGGGGAGGGGGAGAGAGGAGGAGGAGGAGGAAGGAGGAGGAGGAGGAGAGGAGGAGGAGGCGGAGGAGGAGGAGGAGGAGGAGGAGAAGGGGGAGGAGGACATCCCCATCCTCCCTTCTCCCCCGTCCTACCTATGGTAGTGGTGGTGGAAAAGTGGCCAATCAGGCGTTTCAGACGTTCCCAACCACGTTTTCTCTCACTCCGCCGCGGCGCGGCAGAGGCCATCCGCTCGCGCGCTCTGGCAGCTGGGGCGAAGCCCACAACGAGCCTGGCAGCACGAGGGTGGAGAGACGGGACAGAAGGCGGCCGCAGAACCCGGGCGGCGGGGGGAGGGCACTCTCCGCACGCAGATCTCCTGCAGGAGTGGCCCGTGCGGCCCGCCGTTGCTGAGGCGTCCTGGCAGCGGACGCGGGCGCTCCCAAGCGGACGCACGCACACATGTGGGCGATTTCGGAACCCCTGAACCCGAAACTGCTCTCCTGGAGGGCAAGTGCCTGCTTCCGCCGCCTTCCGTCGACCTGCCGCCCAGCCCCTCCGCCGGCGGAAGCGGCCTCGCGCCCCTTCCCCCGACCTTCGATCCTCGGAAGCGAGGCCCCTGCCTGGAACCCAGACCCCCGACGTCGTGATTTTTTCACAACGTCGACCCCTAGAGGTCTGGACCCCTTCCCCGGGACCGGTTTTTCGTCGTGAGTCGTTTTTTGACGGTCCCGAGGCCCGGGAAGGGCCTCCAGAGGGCGAAAATAGCGAAAAACCTCCCGTCGTGATTTTTTCACGACGCGAGGAGGTCTGGGAACGCCCCGCACATGCACACACGCTGCTGCATTCCCCTCTCCCCTGGCTGCCCCGGCGCGCGCCGGGAGGTGGGCGCGCGCGCGGCGGGCCGCTGCTGCGGCAGCGGCGGGTCGGCGCGGCGGCGGGCAGCGATGGCAGGCGGCGGGCGACGGCCCTCTCGGCAGGGCCAGGAGCGAAGCGCAGACGGGAGGCCGCCAGGGTCTCGCACGGACCCCGGGCAGCAAAGCAACGAGTGCTGCCCTCGAGAGAAACATCGGTGCACAGAGGCGGCCCAGAGCAACGCAGGAGCGCGTGCCGACGGGCACACCAACGGAAGAACTGCGCAACCCTTCGAGGGTCCGTGCGGCCTCCCTGGAGCGGCGCCGGGCCCGCCCCCCTCCCTGTCGCGCAGACGTGCGGCAGGGGGGTGGGGGGCAGCGCAGGCCCAAGACATCCGCGCGGAGCTGCGAGCGTGGCCGTGCGATTGAAGGTCCCGGCCGCCGGTCAGCTCGGCCTTGTGCTTCGCTGGCGCAGATCGAGTCACAGCCGGCGGTGGACACGCCGTTCACTATGAAGGGGCCCTGGGACACACAAATAAATAGACACAAATAAAAGGATTCCCCAGATTTGCTCATATTTGTTGTTTTTGTTTGTCTTCCCACCTATTTACCCATATTTTCCTGTATTTTCTGGGGAGTCGACGATTAATTGTGTCTGTGTGTTTTTCCCCTCTTGAAGCTAGCCCTTGCAATGGCACCTGACCTTACGCCACCATCAGCGCGCGAGGCGTGAAGAGGTTCCCGCAAGAGGAACTCAGAGGAACGAGCACGAGGATACGCAAAAAGTGCTGGGGGTCTGCACGGAGGAGGGGGAGGGCGACGAGGAGAAGGGTGAGCCATAGCAGTGGGGCGGAACATTGCCAGGCAGAGGCTCGGCTAGGAGCAGGATGCCACCAGTAGCATATGAACCGATCAAGACCAGAACATGGAAACATGGTACCAAAATGCTCGACCTGGATACTTGACCTTTGAGGCAACCCCCTCCAATCCGGACTCACCGAGATGGCAGGGGTGATGAAAAAGCAAGGGCGCCACAGATGTCTCGCCTGCTTTAGATAGGACTGCCCTCGAAAAGGAAGGTCCCTCCATCTTCCTTCGACATCCACGGCGACCGCCTCGATCACGACGGCGACCACGACGACGACGACGACCAAGCCTTCTCTCTCCCTTCGCCTGCGACGACCATAACGTCTCTCGACGACCACGACCACGACCACGACCACGACCCCCTCCCGTCTCCTCTTCCGACGACGACGACGGTGACGACGACGACGACGATGACGACTAATTACCTCGACCTCCACAGCAAGGACGACGAGGGCGACAACGACAACCACGATGTTCGGGTCGGGCGAAAGGGGGGATAGCAAAGGGGGGGGGTGAGAATCAGCTCACGTAGCTGAGTCTCCCGGCGCCTCCCGGCGCCGGAGGCGGCAGTGTATCGAGGAATGGGCTCCTCGGCGAGGCCGAAACCAGCTGCATGCAGCAAATTTCGTACCCAGACCCCCGACGTCATGATTTTTTGATGACGTCGACCCCCAGAGGTCTGGACCCATTCCCCAGGACCGGTTATTCGTCCTGAGTCGTTTTCTGACGGTCCCGAGGGCCGGCAAGGGCCCCCAGAGTCCAAACACAACGAAAAACCTCCCGTCGTGACGTTTCCATGACTCGAGGGGGTCTGGGAAACCAGCTGCATGCAGCAAATTTCGTACCCCCCCCTTCCCCAATCCCCCCCCTCCTCGCTATCCCTCCCTCCTCCTCCTCCGCCTCCTCCTCCTCCCTCTCCTCCCTCTCATCCTCCTCCTCCTCCTCCTCCTCCCTCTCCTCCTCCCTCTCCTCCCTCTCCTCCTCCCTCCTCCTCCTCCTCCTCTCCTCCTCCTCCTCGTCCTCCTCCTCCTCCTCCTCCTCCTCCTCCTCCCCCTCCTCCTCCAATGTTGTCTGCCGCGGGCCCGCAGGGCGGACACCTCACCGCCAGTCCACGGCCCGGCGGGCTCGGTCTCTGAAGGCCCCCCCCCCGGGAGGCGCGGGGGCCGGCGCCGGAGCGCTCTCGCCGGGTGGCGAGGAGGGCGGGCGCGGAGGGAGCCTCGCTCCTCCTCCTCCTCCTCCTCCTCCTCCTCCTCCTCCTCCTCCTCCTTGCTCTCCTCCTCCTCTCCTCCTCTTGCTCCTCCTCCATCCTCCTCCTCCTCCTCCTCCTCCTCCTCCTCCTCCTCCTCCTCCTCCCTCCTCTCCTTTCCTACTCCTCCTCCTCCCTCCTCTCCTCCCCTCCTCCCGTCCTCGTCCTCCTCCTCTCCTCTCTCCTCCTCCTCCTCCTCCTCCCCCTCCTCCCCCTCTGTCACTCTTCTTTTCCGTCACCGTGCCCTCTGGCACGATGAGGCGTGGTAGAATGCCACATGCTGTCTGGCAGGGTTTCTGTAATCACCTAAGGGGCCCCCACCTCCTCGGGAAGCGCCTCGTCGCGTGCACCGGCCACACTCCCGGGGGGTCCCTGGGCGGCCATAGCGCCCCCCTGGGGTTCTCTACAGCTTCCATGACGGCCCAGGAGGCCTCCAAGATGGTCCAAGAGGGCCCCGAGTCACCGAACGATTGTTCGAAGACGCCCAAGATGGCCTCAAGATGGCGCAGAAGGCCTGGAAGGCACCCGAAGAGGCCTCCAAGAGGTCTCCCAAGAGGGCCCCCCAAAGGCAAGAAGCATTGATTCACCTTGCGTTTTTGAAGGAGTTTGGCGTTCTCGCCTTTTCGGCTTTCCGACGCTTGAAGACGGCCAAAGATGCCCCCAAGACCACCCCAAAACGGCCCAAGAGGCCTCCAAGAGGGCCCCAAGACGGCCTGAGAGCGCCCCAAGACGGCCTAAGAGGTGCCTCAGATGGCCCAAGAGGGTCCCAAGACGGCCCGAAAAGAGGCCTCAGAGAGGGAACGCTAACCGAAAATCCGAGCCTTCCGCCCAAAGGGGCCCCCAGGAGGGCCTCAAGAGGCGCCCCTGGACGGTCCAAGAGGCGCCCAAGACGGCCTCAAAAGGGGCCTCGCAGAGAACACGCGACCCGACAATCCGAGCCTTCTGCCCCAAGGTGCCCCCAGGAGGCCCCAAGAGGCGCCCAAGAGGCCCCGAGAGGCCCCCAAGAGGCCCCCGAGAGGCCCCCCCAAGAGGTCCACAAGAGGCCCCCAAAACAGCCCCCGAGAGGCCTCAGAACTGCTTCCGAGAGGCCCCCGAGAGACCTCCCACGAGATTCCAACGACGATCCACGAGGCTTAGAACCCACAACCCAGGCACGGTGGCGGGACTTGCCGTACAGTCGGGCCGTTGACCTAAGGAACCCTAAATAAGGAACGAGGCCCCTTTTTTCCATAAAATAAACTTCGATCTCCTATCGAAAACATAAGGAAAACCTGAGGCAAGCTGTGAAACACTTAAGGAACACGGCGCCCCTCCCCAACGAAAAGGGTTCCTTCTTCAGGGCCCCGACTGTAGCCAGCTGGATCCGCCGCCCCGTGTTGATTCATCACAAGGGTGCCTGGCGTGCTAGATGATTTCGTTTTTGGTTTTGGTTGCTTTCCGAAAGAACTCCCCCTGGGGCTCCGGCGCGTCCCGCCGGCCACCCGGAAGACCCGGTTGCAAACGGTGTTCCTGCCCCAGACGGCCCTAAGTTGGCCCAAGATGGCTTCGAAGACGGCTAAGATGGCCCTAATATGCCTCCAAGACGGCCCAAGATGCATACAAGACGGCCTAAGATAGCCTCAAGATGGCCTAAGACGGCCCAAAAGGCCCCCAAGAAGCCTCCCAGACGCTCCAAGAGCTCCTCCAGGAGGGCCTGCAAAGGCCAAAATCACAGATCTTGCTTACGTGTTTGAAGAATTTTGGCATTTGCGTCTTTTCAGGATTCCGACGGATCAAGACGGCCCAAGAGGCCTCCAAGACGGCCCCAAGAGGGCCCCCAGACGGCCAAAGAGACCTCCAAGGGCCCGAGATGGCCTCCAAGACGGCCCCGAAGCGCCCCAAGAGGACCCCAAGTAGGTTCAGAGAAGCCCCCAAGACGGCTCCCGACGGCGTCAGACGTGCCAGGAACCGACCAAGATGGCCGAAGTTGGCTCGAAGCTGGCCCAAGACGGCCCAAAGGCCTCCAAGAGGGCCTCAAGGAAAGCCGGAAAAGGCCAACAACGCTGATTTTCCGTAGGGTTTTGAAGGAATTTGACTTTCTCTTGTTTTTCGGCCGTCCGACGGACCGAGACGGCCCAAGAGCCCCCAAAGATCGCCCAAAGATCGCCCAAGAGGCCTCTAAGATGGCCCAAGAACGGCCCAAGAGGCCCCCAGGACGGCCCCAAGAGGCCACCACGACGGCCCAGGAGGCCTTTAAGACGCCCAGGATGGCCTCCAAGACGGCCCTTGAGCATTTCCAGAGGGCCCCAAGTCGCCCCAGAGAGGCCCCACAAACGGCTTCCGACGGGCCAGGAGCCCACCAAGACGGCCGAAGATGGCCGTAAGATGGCCCAAGACGGCCGAAGAGGCCTCCAAGAGGGCCTCCAGGAAGGCTTGAGAAGGCCCAAATCATTGATTTCCAATGAATTGTTGAAGGACTATGGCATTTGATTTTTGTTCGGCCTTCCGACGGCCCGAGACGGCCCAAGTGCCCCCAAAGATCGCCCAAGAGGCCCAAGACGGCCCCAAGAGGCCCCTTAGACGGTCCAAGAGGCCTCCAATACGCTCAAGATGGCCTCCAAGACGGCCCAAGAGCCCTCCAAGACGACCTCCAAGAATGCCCGAAAGGGTCAGAATGGCTTCCAGACGGCCAAGATGACCTTCAAGATGCCCACGTGTTCCCCGAAAGCTTTCCAAACCAATTCGGGGAGCACGTGGTCCGATGCTTGGTAAGTTTGGCCTCAACGTTCGGCCACATAGGCGCATCCAAGAAGGCAGGGGGCGGCGGTGATTCGCCGTAAGCGTCTTCGATAAGTAACTCATCCCTCTCGGTCTCCCAGACGTGTCGGTAGGGCGGGCCGGGCGTTTCGCTTGAGACATCCTCGTCATTTATGATCGTGATGCATGGAATTTCCAACATGTTCG